AGGGCTAATTTGTGTTGCATAAACCAACGTTGGCAGTGACCAGCCGACTTTCTCTCAAACAAGGAAAACAACTCATGATCCGTTTGATGTTTGCCGTTGCTTTTGTACCTCGTCATCTACCTTCCGCGAAGTTGGTTGGGTAGGCAGGTAGCCGCTTTCCATCTATATGCACTGGATGCGATGTGGATTGTGGACGCAATGCAATCTTGGGTTTACTCGTCTACTCTGCTTGACGTGCTTGACCCTAAAAACGGTAAAGTCCAACAAACCCAAACCAAAAGTTGGGACGTGCGCTGACTTTTTTTCATTTTTGTGATTTCGCAAGTCTAAAGTAAGTTGCTATGTCATGCACTACTGTGCTTGGCTCGTTGTGCTGCCGTCTTCATGGGTTCGTGGGATTGGATTAGACTCGTGCACTTTAGGCTCCCCTTCGTCCAAGCCAAGAAGTCAAGCCAATTGCAACTCGAGCATCAAAATGAGACAGAAAGCAGCAGTCGTGGTGGTGGTGGATACACAGTTGGTTAAGTGAGAAGGCCTTGCCCTCCAGTAGGTCCGACTAGGACGACGACGACGACGACTCTTCCTTTATTATATTACCGGATTTTATTTTTATTTCAACATAACATTACGCTCACTTGGGGTGACTACCACTACGCTGAAGCCTACCACCTAGGGCAAATGGTTTCTTAAGTTTCTCGCACATAGAATAAGGTTGCTTACAACTGACGAACAGAGAGATTCCGAAGACCCAGGTAGTACACACAGACAGAGAGAGACTTGCTGTGCGTATAAATGAACACATATCGTATACGGCGTAGAAGAACGGCTTCTTATTTATGGTGGGAAAGCGGATGAAATGAAAGCGGAGAAAGTCTCTCATTTTTTTCGGATATGCGGCTATGACTATGAAACTACCTTTTCAAACACGGCATTTCACTTTATTTTTGCCTCTGCCCCAGCTTTGTTTATATCTCCGTCCAGGGTATAAAAGTAATGGTGAGTTGTGAGTGAGTGGTGTCTAACTAGGCATGACATAAGGGACGAGGGAGTAGGAGAGGGCAGTTCGCCACTATAAATAAAATCTGTCCGCTCTTTAGACTTCCTGTCCTTCCTCCTCCTCCTCCACCTCCTCCGCCTGACTCCATAATATAATCAGGCCAGGAAAAAAAGAAGAAAGAATGCACAAACATGCTGCTGCCGGAGAATAACATCCACATGACAACTCACAACATAACCTTTCTCCCCTGCCACACGTAGTAGTAGAAAGTTACGACCTTGTGGATGGACTCCAAAGGCATTTAGTTCTCCTTCGAGGGAGTGTGCAAACATGCTCAAACACTTAGAGACCCTTCACCAGGGAAATATAATCAGGTGGAATAGGTTGAGTGGTGGAGTGACCAATCCAGTAGTGCATACTCGTACTCCTTCTCAAAATAACTTGCCCAGATCTTGCTCACAAAAGTAATGGCCCTTCCTTTAGCAAGTGGTAGCTCTTTGGTGAGTGAATGTGATACTTGTTGTATGTTCTCTAGAAATTTTATTTTACCTCAAGTCATACGTGAAGTAAAATTATTTCCCCTTATTCCATCCAACCTATGAAAGAAGCCGTTCTTTTATTTCACTGCTGGCTCCCAACTACTTACATTATTGACTATGGCACAGTGTTCCCATGCTCTCGTCTCTATTGATACTTGTACAACCTTTCATTTCATTTCACTATTTACTATTACTGCTACTTCCTGCTCTCTCCTTCCTCCTCTTTTACTTTTTCATCCCATGATGGTAGTTTTTGGTTAATTCAACGGCTGCAGGGCTAATGAACTCGTGCACTTGGTTCTTCCTTGAGAAAATGAGTGGGGAATCAGATTTCTGAACTTTGGAATTTTGGATGCTTGGTAGCAAGGTGTGTCTCTCAATCCATCCTTATTCCCCCCGTGAAAGTAAGTGGAATGAAAGAGAATAAGTAAAAGTTTGGAAAAAAGGCTTGGTGGATTGCACATATATGTATTTATGTACCAGGTGCCTACGCTGCGGTATGGGTTGCGTCTCTATACGTGTGTGTGTAATGCTTGGTGCACTTTCCATTCACCCCATCAACCTCTAAACAGAATCCATTACCACTAACTATTTCAAGTAGTTTCTAAGGAACCATATAATAAATTTGATCCACTCGAAGTAGACAAGGAATCACCGGCTAAACCAAACCACATGGGTCTCCCTGTCCCTGCCCAGCTCCACCACCGGCGAGACCTTTTCATCACTTACCACTTACCTCCCACTTTTTCGGAGAAATAAAAGCAAAAAGAAACACTGGTTTCTTGGAGGAGGCGGGAGCAGTGGCCGTGTTGTGTTTGTCCTTCGGACATGTAACAAGTTAACAACACTCAATTTCAACGGCGACACGAAATCTATGTAAGCTATACCACTTCTGCTTCAACTTGTTCGTTTTTTCCTGTATCGACATTTCACACATTGAGCTGAGTGTAAGGTTGGTGGTGAACTTTCACCACCACCAAGTCCAATGTACAGCCGCCTACAATGTGGCCACTATGGTCCATAATAATCCACTTGTGTCCGTGCAGAGTACCCAGCAATCCACTCACTACTACTTTACAAGTACATACTACACTCGGTGGTGATTGTGCTTGTAGTTAGTTCGTGGTTACGCAGGGAAGAGAGAAGGTGTCACGGAAACTGGTGGTGGTTGGCACTTTCATCCATTAATTTCACATTGGAAACGAGGAAAGCGTTTTCCATCTGTGCCTCTACTCTACGAATAGCTTCGATTTCATGTTGGACGCCGCCCGTGGTCATGATGAGTGTGTGTAGCGTGTAATGTATACTGTGTCGGACGACTTGTTTTACAAAGCGACCATAAACAAGAAGGGTTGAGGCAAATTGGGCAGAGGAATCTTTTGAGCTAATCTCCTCCTTCATTCATGATGATTTAGTACTTCAGGTTTAGGAGGATATTGTCGAGTTGTTATCAATTTCATGTTGTTTATACTGCCATTTCGCCCAACTAATTTTAATCATACAAACATTGCCACTGACTGAGCCATAATTCCACTTGGCTCAATAATAGCATGCCAAGAGTTTTGAACATGCCTTCAAGTAGTTAGTAGTTCTTACCTCTCTATGCAAACTCTAAATATTCTTGTTGTCCATGCTTCCAGCAAATCGATGAGACCATAATAAATGACAATTAGCCAACTACATCCGGCACGAGAATTGAAATATCACAACTTTGTGGCAGCATTTATTTCCACACACTTAAGCCTGATTAAGGAAGATTGTTTTTAAGAGGCGGAATGGCAACGTAAATCTACCAACAAAGTGGACGGACCTTGCTGCTTTTGAGGAAGGAAAAGGAAATAGTACTTTCAGAATAGATCAGAAGCTTTAGAAATACCAAAGTTTTTTTATTCGTTTGTTGGTTGTTACAGTCTACGCCTTCTACAGTCACAACATATAATTCTCCACTCGGGTGCCTGCTATTCAGGTCCTGAGGCTAATTGCACAAAGAGACGCCACTCAAGTTTTTGCTTATCAAGAAGCAACTTTTCCGCTCGAACGCCAGCGAGCGTCATGCTGTCTGCTGCCATGCAGGTTTCTCGTTGATACCATGAGTTTTACTTCTCATATCTCATGACATTTGTTGCTGGGACTTTTTGTGTCAACTATGGTTTAGCTTTTCCTTGTCGAATAAGAGCGCTGCATAGAAAGCGAGCTCCCTTTAACTTGGTTCGTTGGCAGGGTTGAAGTATAATAATAAATAATTCAAGACTTTTGGACTGAGTTGACGTAAGTAAATAATAGCTCTCGTCCTCTCCCTCTCGTTCTGTGTAAAGTTTAAAGTACTCAATAATAATAATAATAATACTCCATCCTCCTTTCCCCTCATAGTTGCTGCAGCAGTAACAATAGCAGCATGGATTCAGTTCAATTTCGAAGGTCGATTTAGCACCAATTTTGAATACAATATGTACGACCATGAATCTATATTTAGCAGTATGCAAAATTGCAATTGCGACTTTTGATTGAGAGGTTGATCGCATTCAGAGAAAGGTGGAACTTGGTGTGTGTTGTAGTCGTTGTCATCAATTGAATTAATTGCATCGAGCGAGTATCGTCGTATCGTAAGCAGTTGTTGTTGGTTGGTTGGTTGGTTTGGTTTGGTTGGTTGTTCTTGGTGTGAGTGTAATTTGAGTCCGTAATGACTCATGCTAATGACCAGATTTGCTCACTTTATGAGAGAAAGCCATGCTATGTTATGCTGCTCGTGTGGAATTGCATTCTCGACTTTGGATCAAATTCCATTCTCACAAAACAACAACATAGCGTAGACCAACCAAGTATAACGTAACCTCTGCTGGTTGCTGGGACATGAAATTGAGAAAATCAATGGTAATAAGTTGTATGTTTATCCCCCAACCAAACTTTGCTCGTGGCCTACACACTGAACATTTATGTATTCATGCATTCCCATGAACCTGGCACTATTTACATACATACACAGCACACAATATCATTGTAAACTTGAATGTATTGCATCAATTCGTACGGACCTTATGTGCAGTACATACGTTTCGATTGGCATTACTTTGACTTTTGTTTTTCTTTGGCTGGAGCAATATTTCCGACTAAATTTGGTCAGGCAGGGGACTGACGATGATGCTTCTCCCCCGAATTTCTGTGGTAATAATAGTATTCATACGTTCGATGAGTCGGCACTACTTTGCCATTGTTGTGTGTGTGTGGATATCGATCAATGAATTTCACCAGCCGTCATCATCACCACGATCCAGGTTTGCTTGTACGTATTTCTAGATAAACTACTGCTGCTATTGCTGCTTGAACATCTATGCAAAAGCTATTATCATGTTATTATTATGATGGTCATTATATAGGGTGGGATCGAGATTGGAATGGTAATGGTGACAGGTATTGAGTCTTGACGCTGTGTTTATGAGAATACTTATGTTTTTGCTGTATTGCAGATCGAGTGTTGGAGAAAGCGACCGATACGACGACCCACCTCCCAACAACCCAAACACCATTCCGTCTTCTTTGTCTCCTCCCAAATCCAGCACGACGGATTCGCCTGCTCTCACCACATACGACCAACTATTATTATTATGCGGATAAATAGTGTGAACACAGATGAGGAGCAGAAAGCAGGGTGGCAACATCAGCAGAAGATAGGATCATCCCAAAGTCAAAATCTTACTGTCGTTATCACCCCAAGGAAAGGAAAGGGTTGTCCATTCCTCGGCTTCTTTTGAAGTGGTCATCACCTCACAGCCATAAATAATAAGTGAAATTGCAGCAGGAGATCAACTCCGTGTGGGGAACGCGAGATAAAACGATGTATCGCTTCCAAGGAACGAACAATCGATCTAATGGGATCTACTGTGAGCCGGAAGCTCACTTTTCACCCCCTCATGGGAACAAGAAAAGTAGCAGCAAAATGAGGCATCATCACCGAGTCAGAAGTAATAACCGGTCTGCACATTTGCCTCACAGAAATGACTCCGACCCCGACTCTTCGTCTGACGTTTCGGACGGAACTTATCAAGAGTCATCGGATGTTCATGGACATGGACACCCACACTCCGGGATGACCATGACCAATCGAGATCGACTGAACATGGTGGCCCAAAATGGTAAGTGGAGGAAAGTTCATTCATTCCAGTCGTGGAACTTGACTACTATGTCACCCCATAACATACCAGCCCCATACCAAGCAGACCTTATCCTACCCACCACCCACACCCATATGGATACATACCCCAGTAGCACCAGCACCAGCAGTGGCAGTCACAAAATAAGTGTTGCTGCATGTAAGGACAATAAGTAGTTATTCATGGTTGATGGCTGATGGAGAAGTTAAGTGTCTCCTCTTCTTGCTCAAACCATGGACAGAAATAGATGACAGGCCGTAAAATTCTGGTGGAAATTTAAAGCAGTTGGCAGCCATCACTTGTTCGGTCGGCCTGCATGGCACTGGATGGACACTTCACTGGAGAGAGAGAGGAAGGTGATAAAGAGGTTACTGCTGTCTCTTCTTTCTTTCTTTGTCTCATTCCCGATGTTGGCACAAGCGGGGAGAGCGAAGACTACTCGTCTTCTTCTTCTTCTCGGCGGAATACTTTCCTGAGGGAAATGGTCATCCTGCTCTCGGCCATTGCATATTGGGCATGGACGGGTTGAACTGATACGAAGAAGAAGAAGAGGAGGAAACAGAAAGAAAGCGAGGCGAGAATAAAGGCATGAAGGCAATAGAAAGGAAACAGCAGTAGATGTGCATAGAAGTGAAGGAAGGAAGGCAACCATCATCATTCTCTTGGCTAAGCTGCATTCCGAACGAAGAGAAATACATTAAAAACAGTGACTATTCCGTTTCCTCGTCCACGCCCAACAATAAAAAGAGTAGTTTGTCGGATCATGTTGAGTTGCTGCTTGGTTTGGTGGCGATGGGGTTCTTTCGCAGGGTGAAATGACGTTGGAAATTCGCTGGAATCAACTACTAACAACCAGACACACACAATGCCATCCTCTCTCTATACGGATATGTGTGTATGTATGTGCATACGTATTAGGTATGTATTCCATCCCGGGTGCTCACGAGATGCCCTCTCTGCTTTCTCCTCCAGAGCCATTTCAACATTTATTTCTTACACTACCGCGACTACTATGTCCATACCTTACAATTACGTACCACCATTATTTCACAACGGGCCAAGTGCAACCCTTTTCTGTTCAAGATCAGGGGTCAATGGGAGAGGGTAGAATTGGATGAAATTCTTAAATGTCACACAGCATCGTATTACTTCTTATCCGAATATACGCTTTAAGTAGTAACGTGCGTGCAGCATTTTAATTTTAGGAAACCATTTTAATGGAATTTTCGTAAATCGAACATCTAGCTCATTTAGAATTTGAAATCCAGTGATACGAATTTTGTAAAATTTATTTGTGACAAGAAAAGGCAGCAGCTGACCAGGTCAGATTTTTAACATGAGTAAAAGTTTGTCCGATTTTGACTTGTTTCGAAGATGACACATTCACATACGGAACGAGAGAGAGCGGCAGAAAATGGAGAATGAGGACTAGAATTGGCTCGTACCATCTTTACGGTCAATTTTTATCTCGCTCAGGCTGTTCCTTTATTTTTTTATTTCATCTCCTTTCCCTCCGCTCCAAATTTTACGAGTCCATCCCGACTATTGGCTTCTGAACTCTAAAATAAACCCAAATTATTATCTACGACGAACTGAAAACAGAATTTGAATTGTTACGTTACGACATGCAATCCAATAAGATAGAAAAATGCGTATTGACAAAATCCTTCTGCTCGTGCTCCCCACACCAAATTGCATCTTTTCCTCATCCTCCTCAATCAAATTTTCAACTCGTATATCAGCTTTCTCACTGTTTTTTTATGCCTGGTGCAAGTTGTCCTTTAGATTTGATTTTGTGGCGAGGCTTCACTTTCTATTTTATTTTACGGATACTGTTGATGGTTCCCTTGTTTTTTTACCCTATTTCTCCTCTCCTCATTCCTCCCCATCATGTCCAGCAGATTCAGCTCACCTCTCGTAAATCTTGTGCCATGAAGATGACAGGGCTGCAAGTTTCCGTCCTCTGAATGTTGTCCCGTGCGATTTCGAAAACATTTAAACTCATCTGTCCGCATGGAGAGTTAAAGAGGAACAGGAGAGGCGAGTGTAGGAAAAAAATACCTCAAACCATTTCCTCACCAAACAACACCCGTCTCGTATTCATCTGAAATTTTATGAGGGCCATAAGCGACCAAAAGGTATGCGAATATTCAGCACACCCTACGTGAATTTTATTCCTCGTCATGACCCAGTATTTCCCACGAATTCCGTATGTGGTGCACTGCAATGCGCTGCATTTCATATTAGATTTCGTTCCCAAGATGAACACAAACCCAATTTACCACGTTGACTTTAGCTCGCAGTGGAGTAAAGTAGGAGGAGCAGGAGAAATGTTCCATCTCGAAGCGTGTTGTTAGTGAAGTGAAAGCTCAAATAAGGTATAACACAAGACAGGAGGGAGCGAGCGAGTTGCCAAAAGCGTGTCTGTCTACCTATTCCTGAGTGAGTAGAGGAGCGACGGATGGAGAGATGAATAGGGGCAAAGAGGCATGAAATTGGGAACTCATACGAACGATACAATGTAAGACTCATTTGAATGAACAGATATTAAGGACTGGGTCGATTTGCCATTTCACATTCCGTCGGATTAGAATTAGAGCAATAATGGAGCGAATGTTCGTCTTCTCCTTTTACTCATGTATCTACGTACGTATGTACCGTATTTGGTGTCTTCTTCTCCACATCTCTGGTTGTTGCCAATTGCAAAAACGTGGAAGAGTGAAAGTAGACCACAACATGGAAATAATGGGAAATGAGAAAAACTATGGAACATTCGAGTATAGATGAATGGATACGCGAGGGAGAAATTGGCATAGTTTTGCATGCGTTGCATTTCCATATGACGCTTTAATAACGATGTGATGATATTGCAAATGCTGTTGTGACTGCTGCTGCTCCTCCTCCTGCCTGATTTTCCATTTTTCTTTCTTTCCATCTCCATACTGTCACACACCACGGGCTCGTTGGTGTGTATGTAGATACGCATCGGGAAACGTGTTTCGTACTGGATTCTTTTGTTCTTCCTGGTTGACGCGTCCTGTTGATGATGATGATTCTAATCCGAATTGTAATTCGAATTCAATCCGAGACACGAACTCTTATGCCCACAGGGATAAATATAATTTATATGCATGATTTTCGCCCATCTTGTACGTAGTCAGGTAATGGATAAATCTGGCACGATGAGATGTGTGACATTTGGTACAAGTCTGACATTTTTTTGCATATGTATGCAAATGTAGCGCTACTTCTCTCCGACCCCATTTTTATACAGAATTATGACCATAAGTAACGTTCTTCTCAACGGGAAAGTTTACTTTTAAAAACCCATTAAATTTTTAAAATAATCAATAGTAAACTGTATAGCAAAAACAAATATCGAGTGACATGGATGCTTTAATGGAAACTACGCTGTTGATCACGTACGTAGGTTAGTGTTTGTACTAAAACCAGGAAGAAAGTTTGTGGAGAAAACCCAAACACAACGGTGCTCAGCTATCTGTCAACTTCAGCAGTACGATACCCACCACGTCGCCGAGTTTTTTTCCTCCTTCCACACTTTGTCATTAGTTAGTGGATTCGTGGATGAAGCCACTGTGGTGTGAGGAAGGGAGGCACGAGAGGTAGTGAATGAATTGCCGAAGGTACGGGTGACGGTAACAGTTAGTACACAACCCACCTTGGCTGAGCTGTGAATGAATGTCTCTGTTTGTCCAAGGTGTATGCGTCCTCCTGATAAGCAGCCCTTTCCAAACTGAGCAAGTAATTTCCACACACTTTTGTTTCTACTTCCATAAAATAAAGACTCTTGGATAAAGTATCCGAATTTCCGCTAAACTAAATTCCCTCACCAAAGAATTCGTCACACCCTCCTCTCAGCAGGCTTAGCTTAGCTTTCCCTCACTCACTAACCAACCAACTCAAAGCCCAGTTTGTTTTAACAGAGTTAGTTTAAGCAAAGTGAGGGAAAGCAGGCAGCCAGCTAGAGAATGAGTGAGTGAGGAAAGTGAAGAAGAAGCACAGTTTGAGAACTTTAGAGGCGTCGTTACTCTGGGACACTGTGTGTAAAGGTAATAACGAACAAATGAGATTGGATCAACCGAAATGTGTGAACTTGGAGGAAGAGGAAGCATAGCTGACATTGGCTTAGATGGAAAATTCACGCATTTTTTATCAAGACGAGCCAGGGAGAGAAAGAAGAAGTAAGTAAATCCAAAAAGGGGATCCACTCACTCACACACACGCATGTAGTCGATGAGGTCTTTCTATACATATGCATTATGCTCTATTCGACGGGTTTCCTCTAGTCACGTTAAAATTAAAATTACCTCAAATTCCTCCCAGAGATACTTATTTAGCGGAGAAAAAGGGATTACTGGACAAAGGAGGCGGGGATGAAATGGGATACGATTTTCCGGATAAAGCATCATTCCATTATGTAGTTACATTACTCCAAGCCGCGTTGCTATTACTGCGACCAGTATTTATTGACGGAATCATCATCAGTCCTTTCTTCCATGGTCCGAAGCCGATCGCAAGAGCATTTCTCCAGGGAGAGGGAAAATGTGAGTGCAGTGAAAGAAAGCCTGTTCAGGGTGAAGCACAATATGTTCCCTAAACTGTGTTTAGTCAACTCGGGGTATAAATGTGGTGGCATGGAATCGAGGAACCCTGTGCCTTTTTGGAGGTCATGCTTGTGCACCACGACCATTTGACTGAGTAGCCGGAGGCCGGAGACAGCGAGGAAGAGCTGGAGAGGGAAGACGACGAGATGACAAGGGATGAGAGTGCGGGGGGTTTGGCTCGAGAAAGTTTTAAGTAGAAAGGGGAGCGGCAGATTGAGTATTCTTTCTTTGTACTCGACTAAGCTTTGGTGATAAATGACCCTGGACCTGTCTTTGATTTGAATTTGATTACCGTTTTTGTTCATTTAGCTAAAAACTTTTGAATCCATCCATCCCCACGTTTTTTATTTGAGCTGCTGCTGCTGAGCCAAACTCCGGACATGGCCCACACACATCCCGTAGAAAACGTCCGCGACAATAAATCTTTTCCACTCCCATCCGCCCCTACCCGGCCAACTCGACGGAATGATCTAATTTTTAGAATGAGAAATAAAGGAGAAGACAGAGGAAAAAAACATTTCCAGCTTAAACTGAAGTCCGCTTAAGTTTGGTGTGGGACAAACGACGACAATCATTGGGGACAGGAGAAGATTAGTCCACTTTGGTTGCTCGAAGCAGTTGTGCTGCTGCTTGCTCACAGTTGGAATAAAAAAAATCACACTTTCTTGAAGGAAATGCTCCAACCCCTTCTTGCGAGAATATGTATGTATGTTGCATTCCGACAGAAATTACCGTTGTTGCTTTCCCCTCGTATACCTTTACCTGCTCTTCCACCTTCAAACCGCCGGGTCACATATGTGCAACTATGTGTGTCCTCTGCATACTATCCCCCCTTCAGGAAAGCCATGGATTGGATTGGTTTTCTGGTTCCAAAGATTAGATTTGAGCTCGGTGCTAGTGAGACACCTCGAGAAAGTCCAAATAGCACATGTCCACGTGTGACATGATGTTCTACCTCATGCATTTACAATCAGCTTGTTTCTCGTCTCCCTTCCGACTATGTTCTACGTACCACATATTCCTTTACTACTTCTTGGTTTTCTCTTATCCGTTAAAGGAACAGTCAGTCCTTCTCAAATTACTCTCTCTCTCTCTCTCCACCGTCCTGTGTTATCTGCTGATCGTCCTCGTTTCACTTTATTTTTACTCGTTTTTCTCCCTTCATTACTTTGCGTTTAGTGGAAATGGCCTAAAAGCCGTGGAGGAAAAGAAGCAGAATTGTTGGTTCCATTAACATTAAGAGAAGCAGACCAAGGAGGGAAAGTGAGGGTGGTGGTTGAGGGAGAAGAAATTAGAATCCAAATGCGTTCTGCGAGAGATAAATGAGAGAGGAAAAGAGTTGAGAGATATTTTTCTTTTAATTGAAGGAGGAGCGGACTCCCCACCCGAACCTGCCCCCAGTGACATGCGGATGAATGGAGGGCTGAGGTCGCTCAAGCCGTATGGCGGCGAACTCGACCCGGACTCTGAACTCTCGGGATATCACCACGTGCAAACCGGTGCTGGCCTATATCTTCCTCAAGGTGGGTGCAAATAATCCAACTCAATTTATTGCCTGCTCCCACCCAGACAAGGTTACGGCCTTTTCTCCACCTTTCTCCCACTCACCCTTTCACACGAGGCAGTGAATTAGAGAGCCAGACCTGGCCAACCGACCTGCCTAATTATAAGTTATGACTGTCTTCTCCCAGATCTGTTTTCACTGCCAATTCAAACCCAGTTTCTTTCGTGAAGAAAGAACACAAAACGAGAATATCTGCAGGATGAAACGAACCCTAATTTCAGCAAGAATTCGCAATTTCATTCGCAGACCTACATACATAGGGAAAAAATTAAAGAATAAATGATGCATACAATTTTTTCACTCCGTGCTTGTTGTTAGGATTAATTTTTGACAAGGATTTATTTTTGTGAAAAGAAGTTTCATTAGTCATAACACAATTACAAAGCAATATCTTTATTTGTTTAAAAATGTAGCTTGGCTATATGGAATACTTGTCAACCTATTTTATCGTAATTAGATTTCCTTTCATCTCCATCCAATTCATTAGTACGTCTACAAAAAACTAGGAATAACAAACCAACAAAACTTAATGAAATTGCAATACTACGACGGCACGAAATGCCTACATATTTATCTACCAACCTGCACAACTGGATGCATGTATACTCAACTTACTGTAAAAGTAGCAATATCCACTTTTTGCTTGTATTATTCAAATATATGAAATCACGTCGTCTTTTGTGCCCAACACGAATAAGCTCCACTCGGTCCAGGCGTATCTCAATTAACTAAAGTTGTCAATTCAATTATCGTTTGCCATTTCTCATGTAAATTTTATTAAATTGAATCATATCGAGTCCTCCTTTGATTTCTGGTAATTCTTGTCACTGTCTGTATCATCTCATCATAGTCATCATACGTATATGAGCTGGATTAATTCTTCCACGCATTGATAAATTATTTGAAGCCAGCTCGCAGTTTGCTAATGCAATTTAAACCCTGATTTTAATCCTGTGTATGCACATATAAAGCATTATTTTGTTCGCCAGTTCTAAAATGTACTTATCTTGTCCATGTATTAAGTCAATTCAAAGCAGAAAATAATGAATGTGATGGAGGTCCGCTCTCTCTCTATCTCACACAAAATGAAGGGAGCACGAGAAAGGATTTAAGCATTTATTCATTCACTTCATTTCTTCTCGAAAGCGAGATTGCAAACGTAAGCTTAACCTCGACGACGACGACACGACTTAGTTTTTGTTCGCTAGGTTTATTTTGCATGTTCTTCTCCGCGAGGAGAAAGGGCTCTCTGTTGCTGAGTTGGGTGCATTGTGTTATATTACCCGTATCCGGAGATTAGATTAGATTAGTAAAGTCCACACTTACTGGCATTACATTTATTTAACAGCGACCCTGGGTTAGGTCGGCGAGGTGGGTGGGTGGCTGCTGGGGTTAAGTAAGTGAAATGAATAAATGAATCTGATTGTGAGCGAGTGGAATGGGCACACATATCAACATGCGTGTAAGAGGTAATATGTTCTAATGTAATATGCATGTAGTACTGATCCCTTGATCAAAAGTAATATTTCATTCGGACTTTGATCATTTGTCCCAAAGCTCTTTTTAGCCTCCCTCGCCCAGCCCAGACTTCCTTTATTCCATTGTCCCGGCTGTATTACGTTTTGTGGCCCTTAATTCTTTTCTGAGGAAGATGCATCACATGTTGTGCAACATAACCTGACCCAACTCTGTGTGTGAATCCATGTGTTGCCGTCCATCCACACGATGCAACTCTCCCTGAAACTGACTGAATCCTAGTGAGACTGAAAAGTGTAATGAAATTGAAGGATCCCAAAGACTCGTCACTACGTTCTCCAGCCGTCTTTGCAGAGGGATTGGATTGAACTATAATTCAATTTCAAACATGTGACTGTGAAAACCTTGCTGCAATTCCTTTATTGCATTGTGAAGTAAATATGATTTCATTTAGAGGAGGATTGAATCCAGATCCTATGGTTTTGCCAGCTCATGTGCAGCACAAGAAGCTCTTGTAGTATTTTTCGGTTATTGTTGAGGGTGCAATTACATACCCCATACAACACAGTTAGACACATTGCAGGTCGGAGAGTGGGGAATAACAGGGCGAAAAGTATTTAGCTTTATTTAGTCCATACGTGCGTTGGCTGCCACACATACAACAATCGCCAAATTTGATGGGGAGAGAGTGTGAGAGCGGATGCAGAAGGGTAAGTTTTCACCGAAGAAGGAAAAGTGCGAGAGCCCAGTAAAATAACGCATTTGTTCAACTCTGTCATCAAAAGCGATCCAATTCATTCCTACTTATTCAAGTAATAACTCTATCAACTGCTGTCCTTGCCCTCGCCAACGAACCAACCAACCCACCAACGAACCAACCTCTCGCTTTCCTTCCATTCCAAACCCATTACATTCAAATAAATCCCAGAGAAAATGAAATGAGAAAAAGCAACTTGTCTTGCAGACTTTTTGATGAGAAATATGAACTGACTGACTGGCTGACGAATAATAAATAGCATTTTATTTTTTGCCTTATAAACCCATTTCAAATTATCATTACTCCCGAACCAAGTTATTTAATGACTTTTTTTCTTGTTTTGTAGAAATGCAATGTCACCAGAATCGATTATCTCCGAGTTGAAAATTAGGTGGTGACTTGGAGCGGCGTAGAGGGAATTGGTTGCATTATTATTTTTTCTCCGTCCTATAATTTTGGCACTAGACCCCCAACCGACCAACCACCAGCATATTTGATTGTCCTGGACTGGACATTTGTAGCTTTTAGCAGCCGACATGGCGCCGTTTACTTGTATTATTGGGAGCGTTTTATAGAGGGCTGAATTAACCTAGAGTCCTATGCACCAGGCAGGAAATATCCGCACTGGGAGAGAAGAGGAAGGAAGGAAGGAAGGGTCGAGTGAGTCATAAAAGTTATCTCGTCGTGAATATATGGAAAATCGAAGCTACTTTTAGTTTTATAATACTTGTGCCCTCCTATCTCTTCATTCATTCATTCAACTGAACCAGCACCAGCAGCAGTCTTCATTTCATTCCATTTATTTGTGAGCTGCCCATGTTCACAGTTCATAGCCAAACACTATTATATTCTCCACACTAATCTTCATTCTGATTTGAAGAGTAACTAAAACCGAGTCGGATGTGTCCAGAGAGTGACACCAACCAACCGACCGACCAACTCGACAAGGCCGGGCAACCCAGCAATAGCCCAAGATCAGTTTTGTGATGATGACGATGATGTGATATGCATCAGGAAAAGGGTCCCCTCTCGTTATTTCAGTTTTGATCCTCAAACCCTACTCACTCGTTCTGTTTTCCATCCATCTCCCAGAGCGTTTTAGTTAGCGAGTGAGCCAAATCAAGGGCTCAATCACTTTTTATTCAGTCCGACGGATGTGTGCACTCGGACGGATCAGAATGAGAGTCGTGATGGAAGTGTCAGTCATCAATGTTTGTTCAGAATTTGGTTAAATTTTATTTCCATCCCTCCATAACTTATTAATACGAGTTTTCCAATGCCCGGATATGCACGTGTATCATTTGGTTAGTTGGATGGTTGCTTGGTTGGTTGGTTAGTTGGTTGTTGTTGATGGCAGAAAAAGTTGAATATTAACATAAATAAACGCTGTTTAGTAAATAGAAATAAAATTTGTATCCATTTATTATTTTTCAACTTTCCCCACTCCACTATTTACTTACTCCTCGATCTTGGGTATCGGGCCAGTTGTTTTTATATCAAGCAAACTTTGCGTAAACTCCAAGTAATTTTCTGTTCTGCTGACAGAAAAACTGATTAAACTTTATGGAAGCGCTTAACTAACGCAGTTTAGTTTCTTCATCAGTTTTATTTGTAGGATGAGAGAGAGAGAGAGAAAGTAGATGATGATGTTGAATTCGGTGGTGGCGAGGGAGTCTCGGGTGGGTGTGTAGGAGGGTATCTATACGGAGCTATCTGGCTGCTGCTTAAATTAGGCATGGCTTGGCGTGGTTCAGTGTAACAACTTTGCTTTGCTTTGCTTCAGCACTTTCCAAACTTCTCTCAGACTTGAATACAAAATCCCGTTTTTGATAAAAATGTAATTGAGTTTCTCTCTCCTCGGTCTTTTTCCTAATGCGTGTAGTGAAGAGATGTGTATACGATATGTGGGAAGGTTGCTCATGTAATTCCTCTTGCTTTTCATCCCATCCTCTCTCATTCGATTTGCCTCCCTTCTTCCACTACTCTTCTTCCACAGCAGATTATATTATTATATGCGAAATATATTTATGGCAAACATGACTCCAATAACTTTACATTTATGCATTAAAAACTTTGCTGAGCTCGCGCTTAGCATCCGCACAACAACAACACGCCGCCTTGGCTGCTGACTTTTCCCCAGTTCAAAGTTTAAATCCTTTCCGTGAAAATAATACTATTTATTTCTTTCCCAGCAGCAATGTAATGTGTACTCATGGTAGTGGGGTGCTAGGTACTCGTAAGCTCGTAGTGGTAGTGCCAGCGGAGAATTTTTCCATAGTTCGAAGATCCTAACCGTATTTAAAGCGTATTTCATTTTGGAGAAAGAACGTGAGTGAGTTATTGCTGAGAGAGATAAAGACACACTTTTTCCTCCAGGGATGAAATAAGTGCATAATTTAATTCACAAATTAAATTGATTAGATGCTGTCCTTATTTTATTACGTAAATATTTTTTTTATTCCTTTTCTACAATTTGTCCCCCCTTCTTTCCTTCCGCTGTTGTAACTATAGCTTCATTTGCTTGACTTAACTTGATCCTAAGAGGCTTACTACCTTATTTAGAAGGAAATGTTATTAACTTTTTTCCTCCTCCTTCGCCTCCTCCTCCTCCCAGCATTCTCTGTTCATCCTGAAAATTGGGATTGTGATGGTGATGAGAATGAAAAAAATGTCTGTGTCGTCTTGTGACAAAATTCATTTCGTTGTGTTGTCACTGATTAGATAATAGTATGTGTATAATATCATTTCAATGCACGTATAGCTTTTTTGGTATGTTCCCCAAATTGGTAACGACCTCATCAGTTTCTAGTTGAATTATGTTTTGCATGCTAAATTTACTCGGCGAATTTCTCAAAATAATATGTTCTTTAGAAAATCAGAAATGAATGAATATGATTTGCTTTTGAGAGTAGTAAATCCATGCATCTTAGGAAGACAGTAAAAGCAAATAAAGTATTTGAATGTAGAAAATGAAGGTGTAACACGCAAACAAATAAGTTATTCTTGTCCATAATTATGGGACAATGTTATTTTAGTAAGTTGCAGTACTCGCTTGAGTACCGCTCACTGTCCTTGATTTGCATTTATTGCTTTATTATTAGCTAGGACAGTTGGTATTTTGGTTCATATGTGTACAAAGTTCTATTCTGTGAGGGAGCTCTTGCATATCACACATGAATTGAGAAGAGACGAAGGAATTTCGTTGAAGATTAAAGTGACAAATAAACACACATAATTTACACAGTTTGTCTCACCATTCGTATCTATTTATTACGATCCGAGGGTTTTTTTTGGATTAATGAAGGCGTGACAGGGGTTGTACTCGGTTTATTTGGATAAAGCTGCTATTTGCATGCGAAATCCAGGATTAGATTAAAATTCCGAATTTCAGTTGCTTATTCAGCTTCAGGATGAAAATTGCATCGCTGCTATTGCCTACTCAACTGGGGATGGTTTGTGTCATCTGCCCGTCATTCTGCTCATCCGTATTCGACTAAAACTCACGATTGTAAGCGAACCATTAGCTAAACGAATCCCCTGAATATTTTCACGAGCCAATCACTTCTAAAGTGTATGGAGGCTCTCGTCGTCACGGGTAATGGTCTCCACATAGACTGTTAACATCATCATACCGTTTTTACATAAATTCTGCTTTGGATAGTTCTGATTAGTTCGAATTAAAAATAGTCATATCTAAAATAAACTAATATTTGTACTACTTTCGTGTACCTTGGAGGTTAAACATCTTGGTGTGAAATCTTTCTCGTTTCCCTCCCCTCCCCTGTTCTCTTCATCAGTCACCATCAATTTTGCTAGTCGAGTTCAAGAGTGGATTACCCGTCCCACGCACAAGTTTGTTTAGTGAGCCTGGATTGCTTTTACTGGTAGAAGAAACAAAAAATAAACAAGTTTTTCTCTTCCTCAATTCCTAAACTATAGAGACGAGACGAATTGCCCTTGATATCGAGCAAGCCGAAATAGGTTTACTTACAGGCGATTGGTTAACTTGTCTCGAACTAATGCTGATGCGGTTGGTGGTGGTATCTTGAGAAAACAGTAAATTAAAATTTATTCTGGGGAATCGCACAGATCGTCATTGTGAGTGAGTGGGTGAGTGAGAGGTGGATTGGTTAGTTGGTATTGGGTTGTAATGCGTTTTGCTTTCCAACTCTAATTTTACTTTTACTTTTACTTTGAATACAAGTCCTGACTCGTGATGATGATTCTTTGATATCGAGCAGGCGAAAAAGTTTTGCATGAAATGAAACCTACTCAATAATGTGGTCGGTTCGTAGTCGTATATTGAATACCATTACCTTCGCCGCCCTAGTTCAAGTGTGTTGAACACATTAAGTGCTCTTGGCATGGGCTCGAGAAAGGAAGGAACGAGTTAAGTTGCTCCCATATTGTAATGACAGTTTTGGTGACGAGTCGACATAGAAAAGTCCAACAAAGGGAAAATGGGTATAATTTAGGGAACCTTGAAGAATACACTGTCAAAGTAATTTCCAAACATTTCCAAACAAGTTTGGAATCGTTTCGCAATCGTGGTTATAAATATTACGAGGAAAAAGTAAGTGAGATTCCAAATGCAAATCGTTATCGATCGATAATAACATTGAAATTGTTTAGTGTAATGACGGATGGATTGAATTCTCAAATGTGTAGTCGTTCCATATTGATAACTTTCCAATTCAAACTGTCAAAAAGAATTTGTTTATTTACTCCAGCTATTTGCTATTTTAAACAGAAGCATTTTCTGCACTTCTCATTTTACTTCTCATTTTACTTCTTCCTACTGCAACAACTGCGCGTGGCTTATAGACCAAGACACGAAGAGTAATTAGTATTGACGAAGTTGGGCTCTTGCAGTCCGGAAATTGTGTCTCATCTTCCACATCTGATGGTGGATTGGAGATGAAACTTGCAATAATAATGCGATCGACTATTCGAGAGCAATAGTTAAACCAGTCAGTCAACGTTGTCATGTATCGTTTTGGGTGGAGAACATTTCCAAATATTATTTACTTCCTCGCTCCTTGTGAAAACACAGGAGTTGGAAATTCTGCTGATAAGCCATCTTTGGCCAGGATAGTTTTCTAAAGCTGAAGTCGTGGTGACTGATGAGGTCATCTGCGAGGAAATCCTAACACAAATGAAACCAAAACCAATCCTCTTCCTCCTCCTCCTGGTTGAGAGATAAATAGAAGTGATACCAGACGTCTGCTAACTCCCACCACCACCAGCAGCAAATTTTGATGAGCGCAGAGATACCAACAACTGGTAACAACTTGGGGTTATCATCTTTTATTATACTCCTCAGTTGAGGACTCAATTCGACTTTTTTTCAGTAACCCGATGAATTTCCATTTGATTTTATAACCCGTTTAATGCTTTCCCAATTTCCACAATAACCAGCCACCACCACCTATTTTCTCATCTATTCAATCAACTTGCCACTATCATTTGAGAGAGATCTGTAGCAGATATCCTGACCGAGCAGATCAATGTATCTGTAGTGTGTCAAGCTGGAGTTAAGTGAGTGAGTCGAACAAAAGGAGTGGCTCTCATTATTACAGGACTACTATGTGTTGGTTGCTTACTTTAGTTGGTAGGTTGGTTGGTTGAGGAAACATTAGAATGGAATTAGATCTAGTAGTTAGTAGTTTGCCACTGGTAGGAGTAATCTCATGATTGCCAGTAAAATTGGACAGGCTGAGGTAATTGCCCGTTAATTTCTGCTAATGCATCGCTTCAACAGACAAGTAAATGTCAACAAAGCACTAGACCTACATGCTCAAGCAGGGTTACTTTACTTGACTTGCTAGGACTAACTAACTGCCACGACGACGACGACGATTCTGACTACATGCGTAAGAGATGCATATTTAGCCGTGTAATAATAATGCAGGAATAGGGAAAGTGCGAAAGGACCAGGTATGTAGGTGGGTATACGACTCGTAGTATTTTGGTGATAGGGTTGAAGAATGGAAGTAAACTGGAGGGCGAATGAGGATACTCGTCCTATTTGCGAAGGGAATGAGTGTATTAATGGCCACTTATTATTACAGTGGATTTACGACCAGCAGCAGTAGCAGCATTGAAGAGACAGAGAGAAAGCTTTAAAACAGAGCAGAATGAGTGCAATAGACCATTTTCCATCGAGTTCCTCTTCGTGCAGCTGCCCTTTGAAATTCGCAATACTCGTTCAACTCTTTGACTAGCTTGGTAGTGGAAGGTGAACTAATTCCAGTAAATTTTGCGGTAGCTGAAGCAGAATTAGTCATGACACGATTGCTTTTTAAATGTTGAATATTAATTCCACCCACAATGGAGCTAATCTTTATTTTATACGAAAGGGTATTTTCTTCCTATATGTACGCGCTTGTCAATAATTGATTACGCCGACGTCGACGGGCAATTTCCCATTTTATGAACCCTTGTATAATTATGTTGGAAATGCAAAATGTCATAAACTCTTCTGAACGGCCAACCATACTCTTCCAGCGCAGAAGCACGTACCATCAACAACTTTTAGCTGAACGGGCTGAACAATACACTTGAGTTTTTAGTAGTTAATTTTCTTCTGAAATGGCAATTAGGATTTTAATTTGGCCGCTACGTATAAGACAGAAGGAGCAGCAGCATGTCTGCCTACTCAGTTTTGTCATGTTACTGGTGGGTGGGTTAGTTTGCTGGTTGGTTGTGGACTGTTTCTGTCATTTGTTTGTAAAGATGTGATGAGAGGATGATGATGAAATGTTGACGTTGGCCTAGTTGAGTAAGTTGAGTTGTCTGCAAAGTGAAGATGCGGGTCTTTCTGCTGCTGCTTAAGACGAAATAGTCTCAGAGTTTAACTTTCGTCTCTTCATTATTGGGCTCACAAATGAGGAGTGGAGTTTGGATAAGACAAGGCTTATTTTGCTACATGCACTAACTCTGTTGTGGTAAAAGCTGTAATAATGACGCAGACTGGAAGAGAAGAGCTTTATTCAATAGACTGCCAGCCTCGAAAAGCAACTCTGCCTTTCTTTCCTGCCATGTCAAGTAAAATATAATGAGAATAAAATGTCAACCATTCGTCACTATGTCCTAGTCGCTTACTTACTTACTTATCTGGGCACACAGATTTCCAAAAACATGCCAAATGCAAAAGAGCCATTTAAAATTACGACGAATATAAACTATGCTAATTTGATGTGTAGATATTTTTTATAATTTGACTAAATTTTATTATCCTTTTTTGCATTAAGTTTCTCTGGAACAACAAATTATTCTAATGATTTGAATAAATGGGAAGAAATAACAATAGTGAGAAATGTAAATCTAACCAAAACCAGCAACACGACGATCCACGTTTTTTTACGAAATTTTCTATCGTCAGGAGCAGGATGACTTCGACTGCCAGCTTTCTCTCGATATATCTTCCTGCCTCTCCTGTTTTTTTTGTGAGAAATAGAAAAAAGTCGTAAATGAAAAATGATTGCCAAGGCTCGTAAAGTGACATTATCTCAAATTCAAATCATCGCATTAGTTTGTTAAATTCCCTCCTGGATCTGGTTCCTCTTCTGTTGGTTGAGCCTCTCTCTCTCTCTGTAAATGGATTTGGTTCGGTTTTGGGTGCATGAGCAACTCTTACATCACAACTGTCTTCACTCACGAGGGAACCTTTTATAGTGCCCGGAGCTCCCAGCATATCCACTATATACATCAGACGCAGTTTTTAATACTAGTCCTATGATGTGACAAAATTTCCGTGTCAAAATGACATTTGGTCAAGTGGTGACGATTTTAGTGACGCGCGGAACGGTCACTTCTCCCATAATTTCAATAGCGCAGCTATACACTTTTCACCACACGCTCCCTGCTCATCTTACTGAAATCTCAACTCATTTGCTCATCGATGAGACTGGCACCTAATTTAACTATATTTACAATTTCATTACAATTTATTCATTATTTAAAAGTTTTCAATATTTTTTTGGAGTTTAAAAACAATTCGAAAAAAGTTCATCAACTTCTTATGAATTTTAGCAAGTAGAGGGATTTGTTCTTCAAAAACATTTTGTAATTTTTAAATTCGAACGGAAAAATAATATTGGTAAGCTATAAATAATAAATTGTAATGATATTGTATATATAGTTAACTTAAGCACCAGTGTGCTCAGGAGTAAATGATAAATCCTCAGTGAGTATATGGGTTGAGAATTCAGAAGCAAGATGAGGAGCGTGTGGTGAAAAGTGCATGTAGCTGCGCTACTAAAAGCATGGCGAAAGTGACCGTTCCGCGCGTCACTAAAATCGTCACCACTTGACCAAATGTCATTTTGACACGGAGATTTTGTCACATCATAGGACTAGTAATAAAAACTGCGTCTAATGTATATAGTGGATATGCTGGGAGCTCCGGGCACTATAAAAGGTTCCCTCGTCAGCCAACACGATTATTCCATCCATATTATTCTGCAGAGGATGAGGTTACGCCAAGATATACAAAATACGTATACGCAACAAGACGACGAGAATGACAACGATTTTGACTCTGCATCTTTATACATAGGATTGAGATCGCCTGTCGTCTTGAAATATGCCTTCTTCCTGTTCCTTCCTTATTAGTATTATTTAAACTTTTTTCCCTTCCTCGGCTGGCTTCGTGTTTGGGAGGAAGGAGAGAGAGCGAGATGCAACTAATTCAGGACATAATGACATTGGGAGCACTATAAGTCTTTTATCTCCTTCTGAAATCGTCCTTTACTCACTCACTCACTCTTTTGCTGGGCAAATGAGAAGCAGATTTCCAGCTAATTTCGCTGATGCTTATACATTCAAAGACAAGACGGAGACCAGAAACATGCGAA